ACAACCCCCCCCCCCCCCCCCCCCCCCCCAAGGACAAGAAACAGAATCGTGAAGTCTGGAAGGCATGCCGAATCCGTAAAAAGGGCCAGTCACCAAAGATTTCTCGCATAGGGTATCATCTGAACCAAAGGCCAAAACAAATAATACTAACTCGACTGTAAAAAGAATAAACGCACCCCAACGAGAAAAAGAAGCGTGCAAACAAAGAAGAAACAACACACAAGAAAATGAACGTTGCAATAGGCCTGATAGGAGTGAGTCCTGTGTGACCGTGGGGGCAGCTCAATCTCCCTGGCCTCTAAATTTCAATAAAAGACAGTGGCTAATCACCACAGTCCAAGTTGCAGGCGCCAAGAATGCCAGTAACAAGAATCCAGAGAAAGAAAAAAATGGATGGGTAGAATAATAATCACCGAAAAGGCGAAACAGGACTCGGTGGGTTGTCAGCCACAAGATCCTCCACCGACTGCAGACTAACTGGCCGAGACTGGTAGTAAGCAGCCGGGGCGCTGACGGATGCACTACGCTGGTTGGTAGGGCTATCCATGCCATCCCTAGGCCACCAGTAGAGGACGTCATTCTGCCAGCGCCGCACGTCAATGACCCTCAGCAGGGTCGAGAAGATGGAGTAGAGGAGGCGGATCTCGAGGGGCGTGATGCGGAGCCTGTGTAGGAGCCATCGGTTGACGTAATCGAACCGGTTTTCGAACTGCGAGAGAACCCTCGAGATGCCGTGCTCCTTCCTCAAGTCTTCAATAATGCGGGCCGTCTCCGGCTCCTCGCGAGGCAACTCCTGGGCCTTAGCCCAGGCCTGCTCTATGGTGAGAGGCTGATCTTGGAAGAGCAAGTGCCTCGAGGTCGACAAGAGGCCTGTGAAACGAGTGGTAGCTGGTTCTTCCTCTTCGTCTTCGGATACTTCCTCGTCCTGAATATCCAGGGTGTGAGCTTCGCTGAGGGGCAGCTGCGCAATGTCATAGACGATAGAATAATCCTCATTGTAGTACGCTGATTGAGGCATGACGCCTTTCGCCTTGCAGTCCTGAGCTAGCCGAACTACTTTATGTTCTGCCTGGTCGACCTTGTCCCGGGCACGTTGCTCGTTGTCCTCGAACTCACAGAGGAACTCGTAGTCTTCCTCGGCCACACTCTCTGGTCTGAGATTTTTCCACGCATCTCCGGTTTTTTGGAAGTGATCGACTCTTTCTCTAAGGGATTCGATCTTTGCTTGGATCTTGTCGAGTTCCGTACTATGATATTGCTCTCCTCTGTGAAAGCCGTTCCGCTCAAGCTTTAGCTTTTGTAATTGCTGCTCTGAATTAAGGAGGTCGATCTTGACTCCCCTTTCCAAGTTGTCGATAATGACACTCCAACGACCTAGCAACTCGGTGTGATGCTCGTTGGCCAGAGTCCGCTCAGCGACGGCGTCGAGCAGTTCTTGATATTTCGGGTGTAGGTCTATTGGGCGGTCGCCAGATATTCCCATTAAGTGGTATGGGACGGGCTGTTTCTGCTCATCTGGTCTTGGTGAAGACGGCGGCAGGGCGGCCGCCTCGGGCTTCAAAAGTCGAGTGTCAAACCAAGAACTAAAGAAGAGCCGCTCAGCGTTTTCCAGGGCGGTCTCGCTTGCATCCAGCTCCTTTCGCAGCTTGCCATACTGGTCTTCGGCATCCAGATATGCAGCCATGTGCCACTGCACTTCGTGAAAAAGCTCTAGTGTATTGGGGGATCTCAGCTCTGAGAGGGCGGAGGCATCATCCAGCACGATCAACGACCTCAACAGTCCTATCAAGGCATTATCTGCCTTGCTCTTGTCCCTTTGCAAGGTTTGCAATTCGTTGTGTTTTTGTCGCATACTCTCTCGCACACGTCTGGCCTTGCGTCGTTGCTCAGATAACCTTTTCCACAAGATAGTGCGGGTATCTTCAGGGTCCGACTCCGATGTAGTAACAGCGTCGGTATCGTCATTACCTGGCCCCTCGGCTCGCTGCTGGAGCGGCACTGGTGATTCTATCCGTTGCAGCTGTTCCACGATGGCATGTTCGCGCATTCTGACGAAGGTGGGACTGGGTTGCCGCATGGTGCGCCGAAGCGGGGGGAACTGCTGGTCGTATTTGTCGATGTCTTGGAGCTCACTGGACTGTTGAGAATCTATCATGGAGCTGCCGTATCCGCTATGCCTGGAGGAACTATAGTTCGCGTCCGACATGTCCGCCCGTGTGTCGGGGTCATCGACCCGAGCCGGATGACTGACATCGTCCGACTCGGCGTACACTCGCCCCTTGAAGGTTGCTTTGAATAGAGGCGGGTTCTGCTCGTCCTTGTGCGTATCACCGGCCGGCACGGGCGTCTCCACGAGTAGGCTCAGAGAAGAAGCGTTTCTCACTCCGCTGCCGGCTATCGCCGCCGTAAGGTCTGGGACCGAGGAGGGTGCATGTCGTCGGCCCAGACCACCGGGGTCCGTACGGACGTTCAGCCTGTTTGGTGTTCTCCGCAAGGCTTGAGGAGGACGGCGCTGTGGACTCTTGGCAGACAGGGAAGGGTGACGGCGATGGTGGCCATGTCTTGATGCATCCTTCTGGTCTGATGGTGGATGGGCTTTTGCGGCGTGAGCATGCTTTCCAGACCTTTGCCGGTCACCAGCAGCCTGGGGACTGGTCGGCGGTGACTCGGTCATCAGGGAATCAACACTCTGAACAGGAGTCAGGCTTAGTGGTAGCAGATGTCACAGCCATGTTCCTCACATGAGGTCTTATGGGCCTGGAGCACTGGAGAGGTCGGTGTCGGGAGAGGGGTGCTTGACCCGGGTGCAAACATCTGCAGTCTGCCGCCTGAGGCCTGTCGATTAGAGGGTGCCCTTGTTTGCCTTCGTCGCCTTCCACAGTCCGAGACCATCTTTCAGACGGCTAGGAGAAGGGCGCCCCGGCTCTGGTGGGAAATAGCCCGGAACCCGTGAGGCTCAACAGAACAAGGGACGTGTCGGAAGCAACTTGGTGGCCTTGTACACACACACTTACATGCGCGCGCGCAGACAGACACACACACACACACACACGAACGCACACAAAATAGTCGCAACGATGGCGAGGGCTTGTTTGAAGGAAATCGGGATTGGGACAAGTCAGGTACCGAACTGGACAGAGAGGCGCGAGCTCAGCAAAAAAAGAATAAGGAACCAGTCGAATCAGGCAAGAAATCACAGATGGCAGGTCCGAGGTGGTATGGACAGCGAATCAGGGAGGAGCGTTACACCGTTCGTTCGCCTTACATTTTTGTCTGGAATTAACGGCATCTCTTTTTTTCTTGTGCTTCAACCATCTCTGGGAACACCCTCGCACCCTCGCACCCTCGCACCCTCGCACCCCCCCTCCCCGCCCTCCCCCGTCTGCCCATCATTCCATCCATGGATCTCCCCTCCGTCCACCCAATGTCGGCGTTTATGACACGGCCCGCCACGCCACTACTACAAATACCGACTCACCGGTTTCATCACTTTCAGGGAAACCCCCTTTCAGGGATCGACACTAGCGCCGGCCGTTTTGCTGGTTCTACGATCATTGATGGGATCGAATGTGATTGACACACGGCTGTGGCCCCAATTAGGTACACAAAATTACCACCATCCTCTTGTCCTCGATGAATGGTGACCTATAAGCAGTCTCCTGTTCGTCATTGATGGGAGCTCGAGTACGAGTCCTGCTGAGGCCCCCCCACTCGGCTCCCCTCCCTGAGTCATCGTGTGCGCAGCTGAGTGGTGGCACGTCTCAGTGACTGTCGCACTTGGCCCCATCACGAGAAGAAAGTCAGGCCAAACAAAAAGCAACTTTGCGAAGTTTGTTATTAGGCGGCTGCAATATGTAGGCATGTATGGATGTCAAATGACCAGCGGAATCCAAGGGGACACAAGCGGGCAGTCGTGGTGGCTATTACTTCAGGTAGATAGATCCCTCGGCTACATTTGACTCACCCGGTCCTTGTTGTGTTGGAGGTGGGTGGCAGACTTGACAAAAGAGCATATCGCCATCGAAGATCCGACGCGCGAACTGTGGCATTCCAAACCTTTGCGTCGGGACATGCGCGTATGTGTGTGCGTGCGTGTCTTCCCCGGACAGCGCAGCCAGAAAGCATCATGCAGCCCTGCTCCCACGACTGACTGTGAAATGCGCGACGGGCGCATATTCCTTTTGCTGTTCAGAGCTGGGGACGCCGGCTTCTTTCGTGGCCGCGTCGACTACGGAGTAAGCTCTTGGAAAGACGGTGTGATGGCGATGGGTGGCTGTGGACTGGACGGAAAACGCTTTGGGCACTGACCCAGCCATGTGTCCCGTCTCTGTCGTTCATTCGCGCCACGACAAGGACTCGAATCGCGATGAAGGGCGCCGCCGGGATTAATTGGTGCCGCGTTCTTCTCATCCCAATCGACGAATGGACTTCGGGGAGCCCACGGATCAGATCTGGCCTGTTGCGACACTCGTAGAACATCTGATGCTTCTTCCCAAGATTCCTCTTTCCTTGCTACCCGAAGCGGTGACACCAGCACTAGGCAGGAGCTAATCGAGTGGCTCTCCCCCACTTTCTCCCGCTGCATTCTCCACCCGCCTTTAGCGTCCGCTAATGTCCGCTAATGTTAGTGCTGTTGCTCCCTGATAGGATGATGCCATAGCCCGCCATTGACAGTGGCCTCCTCCCTCTCCTCCGCCCACCTATTATCATCGCCAGACCGTACTTTGGAACCGACCTAGTGTGGTGGCATTCAACTGATTCTCTTTGATTGCGCTTCCCTCCCCTCCGACGTTTTGGCCCTCGGGTCTTCGGCTGCGAGTGATACGCTGCCTGTCGAGAGAGACCAGGCTGCATGTGGCTGCATCAGACAGAGCATCAGAGGCGGGCCTGGTGGTAGCTCGGCGGTAATCTTCCTGGCCTGGGGAGAGCAGGCCTTTCACGTTGCCAGTCATGTCGCCTCCTCTCCTCTCGTGGCCGGCGTTACATCATTCGTTGCATTGAGCAGAGAATGGTGTGCATGCGCTTTGCCCCCCTCCCCTCCCTCCAGTCTTCACACACATATCGTTCCGGCCCGCATCACCCCATCAGCAAACCGGACATTCACATCGTCAAGACTTCTTCAACGGTGCTTGGCACTTGCCCAATCATCATATCCCCTCACCCTCCCCGAAGCGGGTGTGCTTGGATGCACTGCGTGCCTCCTCATCAATGTGTCGAAGCTGCGCGCATCTTTCCTGTTCGTGATGGCGGTGGCACCAGTGTCATTGGCCCGGTGCGGAAGATAAGCATTGGTCACTGTCTGCCAGACTGCTCCCTTCTCTGCTCTTGTCTTGGCTTGCCTCTCCTCTCTTTCGCTGCTCCGCTCCTGTTTGTCGACCTGACCGTCAGGTATCTGTTCTCCAGATGCCGTCCGTCCTTTTCCCGCCCCCTCCCTCCACCGTGCAATGGTCTAGTTAACCCACTGACCCGTTCTTTGCGCAACCCTCCCGGCGTGCCAACCCCGGTCGCTCCCTTCTTTCCCCGGTCTTTCGACGAATCATCCGTTCAGGCTACAATTACCACGCGAAAGAACCGCGAATGCAGCTATCTGCAAGCAAGTTGTGCAGATGACTGCTTGCATGTTATCCCATCCACTGGAGCCAGTCGCTCTCACATACTCACTTCCACAAGCTTCTTGGGGTTCTCACGTTGAATCCAAGCCAATGCTAGGGCTTTACCAGTCCGCTCGCAGAGCCTCAATCTCTGACTGGGTGTATAAATGTACCCCCTCCTTGCAGCTGGCTGCGGTCTGACATGTCTTTTTTGGGGTGCTGTCCTGCCTCTGTGGTTCCTATGGTCGCCTTGAGCTCCTCTTCCTTATAGCAGTGGTAAAGCCGACCCGAGAGCACCTTGACCCCAGAGATTACCTTCGCGTGGTGTATGTATCGCCGCGGAGCCGGAAGGCCCGCCACGGCCATGCGTATTCGTCATGAGTTCCCAATATACGTATGGTGAATGGCAGTATATCAGCAGCCACGAGTTTCGTGGCTATGTCCGCGATGTCTATGATCAGAACGGTACGCCGTCCTTGAAGCTGCAATGTTGTCCCCCTCCCCCGAAGGTGATGCCTACACAATTTCCACTCAAGCTGATACCCATTCCTTGGGGCGCAAACAGGACGCTGGTTTCAAGAGGCGAGCCGAGATCCTAGTTTCAACAATCCACGAACCCAACAGCCTGTCGATGAGGTGGCACAGCAACTGCAGCAGACCTCACTAGATCCTTCATACGGAAGCTCACCACCGGGAGGAGGTAGCTACACAACCAGTAGGCGGTCCTTCTCTTTTGTTCTACAATGCGAACGAAAATAACCAATTGCCCCGGCGCCTAGACGTCTACTCGTCCTCTCCGCCTGTGTCCAAGGGCAAAGGAAAGGCCAAAGAGGAGCCCAAGAGCTCGTCGCATAAGCACCACAGCTCCTCAAAAGACTCGTCGTCCAAGGGCAAACAAGCGCCAGTGCCGTCTTCGTCGAAAAGCAAGCACTCGGAAAGTCGCGACTCTGGCAAGTCTCGGAAGCACAAGGACGACAAATATGATGCTGCCCCAGAAGATCCATTCTATGCTACTTCGAGCGCCCAGTCCGTGGCATATTCATACCGTAACTACAAAGCTCTGTCATAACGCGCTATGTGTCGTTGCTCACTGAGATGTAGCTACAGCGGCGGAAGGGTCTGGACAAGCACAGCCTATAGACCCGACGTATGGGTACCCCCAAACTGGGGATACCCAAGCCCAAGTGTCGGAGAAGTCGAGTGGGAAATCCCACAAAAAGGACGACAAAGGAGATGAGGATGAAGGCAAGCCATCCCCTCTGGAAATCATTCTTTGCCACCCACTAACTACTTTTCTTCTACAGGAGCCCAGGCGTCTGTTGGCAATACTCGCGCTGATGTATCTGCAATGAATCCCACTCAAGGGTACAGCACCAGCGATGCCGGCTACGCGACATCCCCCGTGGACTACTCGGCTGTAGCCCAACCATCATATAGTGAGTGACTAGAAGGGTGGCCTTGTATTTATTCTCGGAACTTGCGCAGACTGAGTGTCGCCCTTTCTAGCGTATGCAACACCAAGCGGTCTCGCTCCGATCTCCGAGGGCGATCCTTATCTCGGAAACGCACCATATCCAGGAAGCTCCTACGGAGGCTACGGTAGGTCGTCTACTTATGCAGCCCGTATATACACGTGCTGAGTTGATGCCACAGCGCCGCCCGTCTCGCGCGGCTCAGACCAGAAGCAGGCTTTGGCATCCTCTTCCAAGAAAGGGAAGAAGGACTGGTCAAGTGGATTGCCGGAAACCATCGATCCTCGTGAGTTGTGCTCATCTCATGTTTGGGTGGTGTGAGATTAATATTAGGTTCGCCGTAGGCTACGTTGTTGAGCCTTCCAAGAAGTTCGCGATTGGCCAAGTACGCGTTGCGTTTCTCCCCTATGACACTATGTGCTGACACTCTGAAAAGGTATTCAAAATTCTTTGGTCTGAACCGAGAGGCCAGACGACTCGCGAAGATATCGATAAGATGACCGAGAAGGCCAAAGTAAGAACCGAGTTCGGTGATGTCTTCTACATCAGCTTCCGTCGTTATATTGTCGCCAGAGAGGATCAAGGACATAGCATCTGCGTGTAAGAAATCCGGCTGGTTCCGGAAAGTCCGGTCCGAGCTGATCTTGTTCTATCAGGCCGATTCTCACTTACGAAGGGAAGGCGTGCAGCAAGAGAGGAGTCAAGCCAGAGAAGCACGGTATCATCTATGACGCCTACTCCCGTGAGCGTGACCCCACAAAGCCTCTCAGGAGCGAGCCTTCTCTTGGCTTCAAAGCAATCAAGATGATATCGACCGTTCGAGACGAGAAACTGGCCAAGGAGTCGCGCATCAATTATTCCAAGCCGATGACGATCGAGCACAACGTCAGGGTATTCTTCATCGGCTACATCCCCGACGAGGATCTGGAAACCTTTCTTGCAGCGGTCGACAAATCCTGGGCTCCCAAAAAGAAGCGTTAGGGTGCAGCCCACTGCCGCCGTTGCGCAGGGTCGCGTTCCTTCCAGGCTAGACCCGGCGCATACTACGGAGGAGGCTCCCACCGATTTCGCCCCGAACGCTCTTGACAGTGATGCTGTTGCGGTGCGCTGAAGACAGCTCGAGCAAACATCTCTAAACGTTTTACTATTTCTGCGGATGAACTTTTATACGTTGCGTGTGCCCAGGGGAATCACAACATTCTCTGGCCGCCGCGATCGGTCAGATTTCATCGCGACATTTCGACTTGAGTTGATACCAGGGTATGCAAGCCACTTGAGACTTTGAATCGCCTTATTCCTCTGGGTTTTGCTTCTCTGACCGTTTCCTACCCACACTCTCTTGACCTGCTGGCTTTGCTCTTGGTATTCTTTCCCCGGTCTCTTTCTTCTTCTTTCCTTTTCGCTTTGTGCCTCTCCCCTTGTGACCTTGAAACTTCAGCCGGAAGGTTTGAGCTTCGGCCTGGCCGAGCGGCTGATGATGTTATGAGTGATGACTGCGAGACTTTCTGTGGTCTCCCCTTTTTTGTCTCTTTTTTTTTTCTTTTTCTGCTTGAAGATTCTCTTTCCCTCATGCCTCTTCCGTCTGATGTGTTGGGTCTGATGCGCTTTCGTCTGATGCGTCTCGTCTAATGTGCTTAGCGTGGTGTGGGGGTGGGGCGACAACGCTTATTTCAACAGACTGTGGATGCAAAAGGGGGGACGACATGCGCACACAGATACTTTGACAGACGTCGACATGGGGTTTTTCTTGGACCCCATGTAGCTGAGATGAATCAACTCAAGCTTCATCACCAGTTTGGATAATAGCCAATACGGACAATGTCTTGCGAACAAAACAGTTGTTGTTCAAAGGGGTGGTCCAGTTTGATTCCTGATAAGTTCCGTAGTTGGTCATGGGGATCGCGATACCCAGCCTCGACAGACGGCCTTCCACTCTCCACGGCCCTGTCGTCTCCTGCTGCTGAATACTGAATACCGGCCGGCAATTTATCGGGCTATCTTCGCTTTATCCACCTCTCCAAGCTGCCCACTGCTTCCTAGCGTGCCAACTTTATTTCTCCAAGCCCCACGTCGAATCTCGAACTCATCGGAGGACCAGGCCACTCCTTTTTAGATTGCGTATCTTGTCTGGCTGCTATCACTCGAGCCACAGTGAGCAGGCCTCGTCGATTCTGCTTCAGGATCGTCTCACTTTCTAGACACCTGTCAGCCTCTGACTTGCACCACTCCCGTTTCCAGACCCGCGGTCCAGCTGTCTTCGATGAAGCAGACTATCTAGTCACTCGGTTCTGGATCTATTCCCTGCTCCCTTTGACGACAGAAGGTCAGCTATTTCATTACTCTGCTTGGCTGTCTGATCCAATTCGCGTTCAACCTCGAATTGTCTGCTGCCCTGACGATCTATCTGCTCGGCCTCATACCTAGCAGTTCACGAACTCCCAACACGGCAGAACAACACAACTGACTGAATCCTTGCCAATGAGCACTGCATCATCCTCATAATGGACGACTCTCCGGCCCAGTTTATCTGGCCCCCAGCCCATTCGATCTGGCTCCCACCCCTGCAGATTGGGCCCTCAGCTCAGTTGATCTGGCCCAAGGGCCGGCTTCCCGTGGAGCTTTTTGAGACTATCGCCGACTACCTCACCCGCAAAGATGTCCAGAGTATGCGCCTGGTCTGCAAGGAATTTGATAGCAAGGTTTCGCAGCTGTACTTTCGCAACGTAGTCCTCCGTTTCAGGCCCGGTATCCTGGACAGCACAGACCCGAGGGATGATGCCAAGCAAAATGCTTCTCTGTCCAACGCCTCGGCTGTCGTCGACCGAGGCGAGAACGTTTTCAATACGTTTGGAGGCTACATCCAATCCTTTGCCTTTGCCCTGGAGCTCAGCGAGCAGGACCTCTGCCGCCCGCCCATGAAGCTGAACCAGGAACTGATCCCAGCGCCATGGGGATTCTATCGCTGGCCTGTCGACAAGTATGTGCGCTTCGGCAGCTTTGAGGACCTTGAGGACTCGGCCGACGAGACTCGGGGCATCACCGAGGCCCTGAGCAAGCTCGTCAACCTCCGAGAGCTGGGCCTGTCCTGCGACGCGGGCTACGGCTACCTCAGCGGCCACGATTGCAGGCCTACCCGGCACCACCGGGTGTTCCCGAGCTCCCGGTACGAGCCGGATCCGCTACCCCCGGTACCAGTCGACAATACCCCCAACCGCGAGACTTTCCTCCGCTACCGCCTGCTTAAGGAGATGGCGCTGCGGGCGGGCTACGAAGCCGATGAACATAAGAATGTCATTGCGCTGCTTTTGAGCTGCGAGGGAAAGCCCAGCGACTGGGCGCAGAAGCCCCCCGAGGCCGCCATTGTGGCAGCGCCGGGAGGTGGTCCGCAGCTAGGAGACGCAGGTAAGCACTCGGCAGCCCGGTCATTTGTATCCCCCCTCGGACTGCCCGTCCTTGCATGCTGAAAAGAGCGCGTATGCTAATTCTAAGTGGTACCACACTCGCAAGTCAAATTTGGAGATGAAGACTTTAGCCGCTCATCCTTACTATTCAGGGATCTGATCCCCGGGAGTCTTACTGCGATGCAGAGACAGGTCCTGCTTGAGATGATGTGGGCCCAGGAGGCGCTCATTCAGACCTTGACCATCGCTGTCATCGACTGCAAGGTCACCTTCTCCAATCTCACGACCATCACCATTGCCCGGATCCCCGGCAGCCTGGTGCATCTCTTTCACCGGCATGACTTCTGGGCCGCTTGCGAGTCGCTCGAGAAGCTCTCTGTCGCCGTCATTCCCGACTGGCGAGTGTTCACGAAGAACCGCGACGAAGAGTTCTTCTTCAACACCCACATCAGCCCCGTCACCTCTTGCAAGCCCGTGTTCCTCTTGCTGAACGAGTTCGTCGCTGCGCTTCCCCGGCTCGACGCCCTGCACTTTGAGTGGATCTGCGGCGGCGAGCTGGCCAGGGGCAAGGCCCAGCGCAACCGCTGGGTCCTCCCTGCGCCGCTGGTCCTCGACACCTCCGCGCTGACCCGCTCGCAAGTATCCTCTGCGCCTCGCGAGCTGCTGTCGCTACCGTCCGTCAAGCGGCTCTCTCTGAAGAACTGCTGGGTCACCCCGCACGTCTTCCTCCGAGTCATCTCCGACATGGCCGCCGACCACAACCTGACCGAGCTCGAGCTGGAGACGGTCTCCATGACCGGCTGCCCCTCCGGCGGTCGCTCGCCGACCATAGTCGTCCCGAGTGACCCGTTAGCACCCTGGCCGCTCTGCATTCCAAAGGACCTCATAATGCTAATGGCCGCGCCAATCGACCTCGGACGGCTGAACGACCGGTTCGAGAACGAACTGGGCGGCGACACTTTGGTCGTTGTCATCCACCCCAACGGTGACATCACCACTGCCACGGCCAGCCAGCCGCAGCCGTCCTCCGAGGACCCATCGCCCTGGCCGCTCCCGCCCAACTGCGCCGTCCCCTGCCCGGACCTCCTGAGCTGGGCCCACGTGCTCAACGAGCTCACGCCCGGCCGCACCATCGAGGAGCACTTTGACGGCGAGGCCCGCCCCAAGGACGACGACAACTTCGCCGCCCTGGCCAGGGGCGCCGCCGCCTGGGCCGGCACCCCGCGCCTGCGGTCCTCGGCCGGCGGGCCCGCGCTGGCCACCCTCCTGCTCAAGAACTGCGGCTACTGCCTCGTCGACGTCGAGCAGCTCGACAACGCCTCGTGGCTCGGCCGCTTCGCGGACCCGCACGACGCCGTCACGGGCGGGCCCGAGCTCCTCGACGCCCTCGACGCCCTCGACGGCACGCAGCTCGAATCGGAGGACCCGCTGCTGGCGCGCGTCGTCGACGTCCTCCGCCCGGGGTGCGAGGCCGCCGTCCTGCGCCGCGTGTTCGGCCTGCGGCTCGGCTGCCTCGGGCTCCTGTACGGCGCCGGGTTCGTCGACGAGATGGCGCGCGACGGCCTGCGGCGCTGGGGCGTCGGCCGGTTCAGCGGCGGCTGGGTCCTGGGCGCGGCGAGGCCCGTCGAGGAGCTGTGGCCGCCGCCGCCCGAGACGGACGCGGACCGGGCGGCGATGAAGAAGGAGGATGATGAACTTCCACCCTGGGCGGCGGATCGCGTGGAGCCTGATGTGCCCCTGTGGATGCAGGCCCGGGATGACGACGATGAAGACTTCGAGGACCAGCAGGGGTTCCAGCAGTTGTTCCAGCAGGACATGATGGACCCTGATCACCCTTTCGTCTAACCAGCAGAGCTGAACAGCTGGATTTGTGGAGATGACGGCCAGCGCGACTTCTTTTCTCTTTTCCTCAGCATCGCGACTTAGAGAGAGAGTCTCTCCTGCTTGTCCGGAGGCATAGACTCTTCCTTCTCACTTATTCCTCGTTTTATTTCGACTTCCTCACCAGCAATGTCTGCGACGAAGCCCTACATGGATTCTGTCAGATCGGTGTTTGTTCAACTTACAGCAACACCCCGAATCTCTGTACTATCACCACTGTACCCATCATCTTTTTTTTCTTTTTTTTCTTTCTTCGTCTCTGGCATCATCGACGTCGTCTATACGACATACTTGCCAGCGAGCATATTCGTCATCATCATCTGTGCCTTTGTTCTGCATTCTTCGCAGATCGGTGTTAGCATGAAGCATACACGGGGCCCGGAAATCCCCAGATGGGGTCGGATAACGAATCATTCTGTGCTAAAGTACAGACACAGCATCGGAAAATGAAGGGGGTTGATAGAATAATAGCATGAGATCGATTGTCCCTTTTCGACAATCATGGAAATACTCTAACCGTACTGATATCGGCGGTGTTTTCCGAGCCGGAAGACGGTAATGTAGACGGCCTAGGGACGTCTAGAATCCAGCGATGTATGATAGCATAGCCAGCCAAAACAACAATTCAATGATTACTTGAGATTACTCGGAACTGGTGCGCGAGTGGTAGGGAAAGGGTGGCTGAACATGACATGTCCTCAACATCGAGGTAGATAAAGCCCGTGATCAAAATCGGCCGTCGTTCGTATCAACACATCATAAGCACGAGTGTACCTCATCGTCGTGTGGACGCATTATCAAATCTTCATGGATTTCCCTTTTTAATTGCATGCCAATCCCTAAAATGTCATGCTCACATACACCGATGAACCATGTGAAAAGCGCAAGCCAGACCGAGATGGAAATTCCACACGCCTCCCCAAGATGCAACACCCAACCACCGTCACCGCTTATGCGGCAGTGATGGCCTGGCGGACACGGCGGCCACGCTGTCTTGAGCTCAGGTGCTCATCACGACCAACAACAGCCTCGGACTTCTGGACGACCTCCTCACCCTCGGTCAGGATGAGCTCGATGTGGCAGGGGTTGGACATGTAGGGGTTGATCTGTACTGAACGTTAGTCTCTCGATTCGTCATTCACTATCGGAGGTGGAGGCAAAACATACGCGACCGTGGGCACGGTACGTCCGTCGGCGCTGCTTGGGGGCCTGGTTGACTTGGATGTGCTTGACAATCAGGTTGCCGGTGTCCAGGCCCTTGGCGTCGGCGTTGGACTCGGCGTTCTTGAGGAGGCCGAGGAGGTACTCAGCCGACTTGGTGGGCCACCGGGCCTTGGAGACGCCGAACTGCTTGCCTGTAGAGGGGAATCCGGTCAGCGTTCTGATTTTCGCAAAATTGATCCTTCATGAGTCCTTCTCCCATCTCAGATCTTCACCAGATACCCAAGAGTTCCTCCTCTTGATGCAGATCCCATGCCAAAACGAAAGATTCCAAATCTCGGGGCGTTCGCATCGTACCTTGAGCGCAGCGACCGGTGCTGCCAGCGTAGCGGCGCATGGGGACGGCCTCCTTCTTCTCCTGGACGTTCTCGAGGAACTTAACGGCGCGCTGGAGCTTCCAGCCGTTGATGGCCTGGGCGGTCTCGCGGGTGTTCTTGAAGGACACACGCAGGTAGGCACCGCGGGCGCGGGCCGACTTCTGCGGTGCAATCTCGGTGGCGGCGTAGCGAGTCTATCATGGGGAGAGGAAAAAGTCAGTCTTCGAGGATTCCATGTTGACGTCGACAAGCGACGACTCTCGAGAGGACGAAGGGGCCAGGTCCGAGGGGCCAAAATGAATTGGACATTTGTCGTAGGTCAAATAGACATCGTACTGGCCCCAAATCATCGTGAATCCGTCGTGGGGGGAGCGACTCACCATCTTTGCTGGTCGTGAGGAGGATGGACTCGGCGTTTGAGGTTCTGGAAGAGCACTTGTGAGAATGTTGAACTTTTTGCTAGGGCAGCCAAAGGCGACCCGCTCGCTTAATTTCTCAGTCGGTGTTAGGGCAGAAAAACCCTAGCACATTCGACACCCCGGCTTGCGCCCAATATTGGGAGTAAAGATACGGGGAAAACTTACCAGTATGATCAGTAATTGGCGAGAAGTTGAATGAAATAAGTTTCAGTAATGATTTCGAGTTGTAAGGAAGAGTTTTGAGCGTTTTTTGAAGGATGAATTCTCATTGGCTGCTGAAGGGGTGGGATGGAGCAAATGTTGACGGCTCCGGTGGAACAATCAGCCGAAGGGTCCTGCGGGTCCAAAAAAAAAGATAGCTTCTCTAATTTTTTTTGAGCTTGCCCCCAAGAGCTACTCGCTAGAGAATATCGTAAAGAGCCATTGTGCCACGACAGAGGGGACATTACTTGCTCAACAACTCCCAACAAGCACCCTCTATTCACGAAAACATGGGTTTCGCACCTCGAGGCGGACGTGGCGGCGCTGGTCGCGGTGGAGGCGGTTTCCGTGGTGGCGGTGGTGACCGTGGTCGCGGCGGTGGCCGAGGTGGTGCTCGCGGCGGCCGTGGAGGACCTGGTAAGTTATTGACGATGCTCGATGCAGACTTTCATGGTTCTTTGGCATTCTGGGATACTGGGGGAGGCCCTTGATGGTGTCTCCCGACCCGATTCTAGACTTTGAGATGACTTGCGACTCTTTCTTGGAAGAGGATTGCTTCAGAGCAGCTGCTAACTTCTCTCAAGGCGGTGCTCGCGGTGGCTTTGGCGGTCGTGGCCGCGGCGGCCCTCCCCGTGGCGGTCGTGGGGGCCGTGGTGGAAGGGGTGGTGCTGCCGGCGGTGCCAGGGGTGGCAAGAAGGTCGTTGTTGTAAGTTGGGATCATGTTCAAGTTCTCGAGCCTGTGTCTCAGGTATTAACACCGTGTAAAGGAGCCTCATCGTCACAAGGGTGTCTTCGTTGCCCGCGGCGGCAAGGAGGATATTCTGGCGACTATCAACCTGACCCCCGGCGAGTCAGTCTACGGCGAGAAGAGAATTTCCGTCGAGAATGCTTCCAAGAACGACGATGGCACTCCCACGACCAAGACCGAGTACCGGTAGGTGGACATATCTTGTTTGAGATACAAATCATATGAGAATAGCGAGCTGACTTTTACTAGTGCATGGAACCCCTTCCGAAGTAAGCTGGCTGCCGGTATCCTTGGTGGTATCGACAACATCTTCATGAAGCCTGGCTCCAAGGTTCTTTACCTTGGTGCTGCCTCTGGTACCTCAGTCTCCCACGTCGCCGACCTTGTCGGTCCCACCGGCTGCGTCTACGCCGTCGAGTTCAGCCACCGATCCGGCCGTGATCTCATCAACATGGCTACCAAGCGCACCAACGTCATCCCCATCGTCGAGGACGCTCGCCACCCCCTCAAGTACCGCATGCTCGTCCCCATGGTTGATGCCATCTTCGCCGATGTTGCCCAGCCTGACCAGGCCCGTATCGTCGCCCTGAACGCCAGCCTGTTCCTGAGGAAAGCTGGTGGTATGCTCATCTCCATCAAGGCCAACTGCATTGACAGCACTGCGCCGCCAGAGCAGGTCTTCGCACAGGAGGTCGAGAAGCTCAAGTCGGAGAAGTTCTTCCCCAAGGAGCAGCTGACGCTAGGTAAGATATGGTCACCCCCTGGATATATGAATCAAAGTTACTGACTAGGCGATTTTAGAACCCTATGAGCGTGACCACGCCATGGTGGCGGCCGTGTACCTGCAGAAGGAGTTTGAGGGCTAGATTAAACGACAGTGCATGTGTTGTGGCATCTATTCAGTAATCTTCTTTCATGCGGCTATAGGTGTTGACGGTGGGTTGGTTCTTCTTTGCACCATCGGGAAAGGCATCGGCGTTCAAGGTCAGGGCTTCAATTTTTCTGCAAAATGTTCTCATAGTGTGCATATGGTCATTTGAACCATCAAAATTCAAAAGATTCCCCAAGTTCCGGTGTCACGGTCGATAAATTTGTGCACATTCGGCGCGCAACAGCCGTCAGGCAATCACACTTGTTGGCCGTGTGCTCTAGCAACCAGCATTTTTGTCGAAGGCCAAACATGTTGCATGGTCAGATATTCAATTGACGCCTCCGCCACGCGAGAATTGTCGTTTCAATATTGTACAGTTCCAGTTCTATCGTACAGTCATCCACCACACCAGTCAAGTCGCTTTCATTTCGAGCCCGAGCCGAGATGCTCCTGGACGTTGGCGCCGACGGCCCCCTGCTCGGTGAACTGCTTGCCGATGCTGCCCGTCTCCTTGAACGGGCCGCCGAGCTTCTGCGCCGCGGCCCCGATCTTGCCCTCGGCGGTGAACTCCTTGCCGACCGTGCCGGCGGCGTCAAAGGCCGGGGTGTGGCCGGACGGGTGGTTTTCCTAACCAAACAAAAAAGTCCCACGAATGGTCCGTCAGCCATGATTGCATTACCGCAGTCAGTCGAAAACGGATCAAAAGAGAGAAAAAAACTAACCCTCTTGCTGACGTCCTCGTGGATCCCGCTGCCGAGGTCGGCCGTCTTGAGCGCCGCCGAGGCGCCGTCCTGCATGCCGTTTGCTCCGTCGACGGCGCGGTTGGTAGACATGATTTGTGTATGCGATTCAATGATTTTTGGGGTTTTCGAAATAGGTAGTATGTTCAATTAGCTTTTCCCCAATGGATGAATTCTCTGCAATCGATATGGGATTTCCTTGGATATCAATTGGTCGTTTTTGTTTGGTCCAAAGGTGGGATCGCTTTCTTATACATGCTGGATTTGTCAAGTTGATGTCAGGGCCGGCTCTGAATACGTCATGTCCCGCGCAGCCCCCAAGCTCCTATGATCAACAAGGCCAGTTTAACTTCACACATGACATTCTAAACCCCGCGCCCGGCACAATCGTCATTGGCATAGGCTGATACGTCACAAGAGGGAGATCGGAGGTTTCGCTCTCCCTCAGACCGCCCTTCCCATGTGATTTGTTCACGGTTGTAAGCCAATAGGGTTGAAAATACCTGACAATCTATTGCCCGCTTAGTCTACATAAACCATTTTGGACGGCCTGTCGCAAGTAACTTGCCGGCCCATAAAGTTTCGCTGCTGCCAAAGATGTGTCTTCTGTTGCTGCAAGAAGAACAGCGTAATGAGAACTTGATACCCCTCCCAACACCTTGCAAATGCAAATAATAGAACATCTCTGCCAATGATAAGGGGAATGAATCATTGGAGTTTATTTTTCTCTCTCTCAAGCATCCTCATCCTCTGCCTCCTCCACCGTGACGGATCGAGCTTTTCCCTTGCCCTTGTCCTCACTGCTGGATCCTTCATTACTTGATCCTTCCTCCGGCGGTGCGTGAACAGCAGGCGAGTCTGCCGCCTTTGGCGCCTCTGACCTCGCTTGCGAATCAACCGAACGATCACGAGTACCAGGTGTGGACGAGTCTGCCCCATTCTGTTGTACGCCAAAAGGCAAGTGTCCAGTCTCGTTTGAAAACAGTTGGGCACGTCCGCCCCAATTCGGCAGGACGGGGGTGGGTTGCGCCATCTGCACCGGCTCCCGGGGTGTGTTGAACGAGAATCCCGCCGATGCGGCCGTAGATTCCTGACCCGAAGCGCCCGTACTAACTGGCCGGTGGCCATTCTGTGCGGCCTCCAAGTTGCTGACTTCGGGTGCTGATGCAGAAGCCTGACTTGTAGTGCCTACGGCAGAGCCAGATGACGTAGCGTTTGCTCCAGGGTGCGCTTGGCTATTCGCAGTTGATGAACTTCCAGAGTTAGTGGCGTGTGCATCGAGGCGTTGAAGCGGCATCAGAGTCCAGCCGGCCGGAATGCTGACCCCTTCGGGGAGTTCGGCACTGCCTGAAGGGATAGCCTGAGCATTTGCCTCAACGCCAAGGCGTGTGACCGATGGAGAGTTAACCCTCGGCAGAAATTGCGTGTAGGCTGACGGAGGCTGGGGGACACCAGGAATAAAAGGTGGAGGCATCATGGTGGGCAGGCCGGGGGCATGTGGTACGGCTGCAGCTCCGGCGGGAGCAGCTGTGTTGTTAGTGCCAGCAGCAGATCCGTCGAGGGCGGTCTGTATTTGCCGGATGCGCTGCAACTCGAGAAGTAAAAGCCGAAGCGTCGCCGTCTCCTGCTCCGCCAGACGCAGTGATAGCGTTTGCCGTTGTATCCGCTGCTCAATCTCCCGGAGCTGGGCAAAGATAGCGTCCGGAGTGACGTCGAGAGATGCCGCCTGCCCTTGAGGTTGTGGTGTGGCTGCAGGGGGGGCAGCTGCACCGTTGGCAACGTCTTGGGGCATTCCAAGCCTCTGGGCCATGTTCTGAATGTCCTCGACACCACCTTGAGCGAAACCCAGGCGGAGTGGGCCCAGATTGATCATTCGGACCCCGTTGCCAGCCTGGGGAGCCTGTGGAGCGTTGTTTTGCGCGCCGGGAGCAGCACCATTAGCTGGCGGTTGTGCTTGGTTTTGTCCTGCCGGGAAGTTGAGGCCGACCCGGAACATCATGGCGTCGCGATTGCGGGCCGCACCCTGCGGGCCATCCATGGCCACAGATCGGCGGCAGGTGGGGCAAACTTGTTGTCTCTCAAGCCAGCTCTTCAGACAACCAAAATGCAGGATATGTCCGCATGGGAGTTTCTTCGGACGTGACCTCTCCACTTGCGTGGCGTCATTGGGGTTCCAGATGTGCATCTCCTCACGGCATATTATGCACGTGTTCTCTCGCGATAGCTCCTCCTCGGTAGCATCCGGATACTTGTTCATATCTCTGACCGCTTGTCGGTAACGCATCAGGGCGCCTAGACGCTTAATGAAAGACCGCGTAGTCAGGAAGAGGTCCCTCATAATATGAATGGGAAGACCGTAGAAGATGAGAAGGACAGTGAAGAAAGCGCCATATATGCAGAGCTTGAGGAAATCTGATGGCGGGTCAGAAACAAATGGCAAAGGTGACAGTATGAGCAGACAAGGAAAAAACATACCTGACCAAAGGTCCAAGGAAAGGACCCATTGGCCCTTGGCTTCCCAACCGGGAACTTCGATATCCATCTCGTCCACGTCGTCCTCGCTCGGCAAGGGCTCTTCCATCTCAGCCTCGGTCGCCTCACCGGCCTCTCTTCGCCGCAGTATCTCCCTGTTTGATTCTCGGATCTGTCGTCGCCGGTCCTCCAGGCGCTGTTGTGTCTGCTTCTTGACGATGCTCGCCTCCATCAAGGAGAGGATGTATCGTAAACCAGTGTGTGCCGACGACACGGTCAGGATCGCAAACTCGAAGAGGAACATGACCATCATGTCCGGTCGCGCTTGCTGGATGACCGTCGAGACGGAATAGTGCAGCAGGGCGACGTCGTAGATAAGGCTCAGAATGAGCGATATGCTCAGCCTCGTGTGGAACAGTCGCGGGTTCGACGGCGGCTGCTGCTCCAGGATCTCTATCCTCCCCTCGCCGATCCACCCCCAGACCTTCCCGGTAACGAGCGATGTGAACATGACGAGGAAGAAGACGCCGAATTGGCCGCGGAAGATGGTCATTGCCAGGCAGGTCTCCGTCACGGCGAACCAGGCCTTCTCGTAGAGCTGCTCAATCTCGACCGGGCGGAGCTGACCGAAGCATACCCGCTGTAGACAGTACATGAAGGAGCCGTACACCAGATAGATGAGGTTGATGATGATCTGTGACGTTTGCGCATGGCTGTCAGTCTATGCTCACCGGGGGGAAGGGGCCATCTCCGACACAGTGGCCAGGGTATAGGAAAAGCTTACCATCAAGCATAGATTACTTTGCGACAGGTGAACCATCGCAGAGTAGAAATTCGATCGCTGGTGGAAGGCGGAGACCACCACCGAGGCCGCGAGGGCCGTCGAGGCCTATCACGAATAAATGTTAGGACGGGGGCTGATCTCCAAGCTAGATGGGAGCTCCGGGCGATGATAATAGCTTACCCCAGCGTACCAGACGAGGCGCATCTTTGGGCAGTCTCTTCGAGGTGTTCAAACCAAGAAAAAAAAGTTGCTCAGCGCTCGACAACAATTCCAGGTTCAGGCTATGAGCCCATTCTTTCAAAGCCAGGGTTGGGGGATCGTTTCCGCCCAGATGAGGCGATGTCCGTAAGTCGCACGCGCGTTGAAGCCACGTTCACCCATGACGCAGGGGACAGGCGAGCACGGATGGCGATATTACTGACACGTGACAGCTTTTCCAACTGGAGGCCGAATCAGGAAGGGTCCTTATCTAATCTGGGCGAAAGAGCGCTTTCGCCAATCGTGCCTGCCAGAAAAACTTGCGGCGGGCCGGTCCTTGTCGCACTGACGGCCGCTGGCAACTGGTCGTTCCTTGGCCGGAGCAGTGCATTCGGGACTTTTCTTCAACGGAGGCTGAGCCGGTGCCTCGGCGTTTAATTTACGCCCGGCCGCCCGGAAACCCTCCGAGGTTTGACGCATCACGAGCATCTGGTAAGCATGTGCAAGCAAGTATAGAAGAAGGATACCATACTAATTATTTCCTACTTTTCTCTTCGCCTCTGACTCAGCGTTTCTATGGTTCTGCGCTGAGGTGATTTAATCATATATTTTTGTTTTATTATCTCCAAACCTTTGATAACAAGCTACATCCGAAAATCCCAAGACGATGGCTATTAGTCTGGATATCGTAACACCATCCTTACTGGAATCCGTCCGGCAACATCCAAATCTACCCGATCACGTCTGGTATATGGTGGCAGTAACCGTCTTAGCCATCCTGAACCGACCCGAGGAGATACCCGCGGTGTATAAGCATGTCCTAGATCACGGGCCGGGCGCACGGAACAAGGCGCCGAGCCCGGAGGAACAGCTCGTCATTTCTCAGAGGATACGAGAAGCTCTGATAAAAGCTTCTACCCTCGGAGGCCTACCGAAAGTGAGCATAACACATCCGCACAAGAAGAAATAGGACATCGTCATTTACTTAGCTGCGCAGATCATCAACGCCCTATCAGAACTGAAAAAGGTCACGCCGGAACATCTCCGAGATAGGCCATCCGCGTCGTCGTCGTCACCGACATCGCGGGCAGCCGACATGTACGAGGCGCCGCCCGCACAGGTATTCCAACGGGGCCAGGCCTTCTTCGACAAGACGTACGGCAAGGTCGCTACGAGAGTCATGGGCCAGCTGGACGACTCCGGGACGGACCTGGGCCTCGTGGCGCGGCTGGTCTACGGTCACATACTCAGCAACGTCGACGTGCTCAACGCAGTCGAGACCTCCTTTGTCGCGATTGCTGCTCTGATACCTCAAGATGTAAGGATTCTCG